ACAGTCCCAAGAGAGATACAGAGAGAGATGCAGAGAGGGAAAGTGAGAAATCACCCCCGGCAGGATGGCCATGCCGTAACACCTTCTCTTCCGTTCTCCTCTCAGGATTTTGAGCACACGCACACATGCACCCAGCACGATTTTCAAGCCTCTGGGACCAAGACTCAAACCGCAGTCGGCCATATGGGAATCCAATGCCTAACCACCACGTCAACTGCTGACCCCAATTTCCTCTTTTTTAGTTTATTTATTTCTTTTATAAGTGAGAGAGTTGTAGAAAGAGACAGACAGAGAGTCGACGAACCCGAGAGTGTCTTTATTGCCATCCTCAGCCAGCGTGGCTCGTGGCTATGCGCCCGAGCCTGGGACACTCAGGGAGCTCTCTGGATGTGAACCCGGGACCTTCCCATGTGGGTCAGTGTCACAGAGCATCGTGTTTTACCACTGTATCTTCATCCAACCCCTAAACTTCCTCTTTTTCAAGTGCCAATTATTTTCTTCTTGACCATCGTCTGATCCTTTTAGAACATATGCACTTTGGGAGACTCTAGGTTGCATCCCAGCTGTATCTCCCGCCTCATCCCAGGCGTCTAAACCACCATTCTGGCTCTCCAAACTAGACCCCTTGGGAAGGCACTTCCCAGCACTTATCCCCTAGGTTCACCTTTCAGCAGGGATGTGAACATTTTTTGCTCATTCAACAGACTGGAGGCAAAAATGAGCATAACAGAATCAGTCCCGCCCTGGAAGATCTTACCGCATATTGAAAGACTCACAACAAGTTCCAGTCATCTCCTAGTTGGAGTCTGACTCCCAGTGGGGAAGGAACTGAGATGATGACCTCGGCAGGGATACGGGTTACCTAATGGATTTATCCCAAATGGTCTTATCCTGAACCGCGCCAGGCTTTAGGGGTGGTAAAAGGTTACAAAGTGTCACAAAAAAGTGGTGATGAACTCTCTGGCACTCGCTTGCATTTCTGAAGACGCAAAGCCATGGCTGCACTAGTGTACATGCAGCTGGGTTTTATGACAGTGCGTGGGCTGCCCTGCCACCAGCCCTCCCAACTCTGTTTGCTGGTGACTCATCCAGTCCGATCTTCATGTCTATAAAGCCGTGGGGGAAATCACACTCCACGCCTTTATTCTGCATCAGTCTTTGCTGTCAGAATCCTCTTTGGTCAGAGCAGGAAAAGAATTTTGCATGGACCCTTCAAAACTTAAAATGCATGGCCTCCAGGTTAAGGGGCTGATCCACACATGGTGAAACATAGTTTGAGCCTAGACCCAGTGGCTTGAAAAAAACTCACCTGTCACGTGTGCATGCGTGCCCAAAATCCCAAGAAGAGAAGAGAATGGAGGAGAAAGGATTCCAGCGTGGTCATTCTCCTGGCGTGGAGGGGAGGGTGATTTCTTACTTTCCCTCTCACTGTCTCTCTGGAAATTACATGCACCCTATGACAAAAAAGCCAAAATAAAATTTTCAAAAATGAAAAATAGGGAGCCAGCAGTTAGTGTAATGGCTATGTCACTGGACTCCCACGTAGTCGACTGCAGTTCGAGTCCCGGACCCGGTGGCTTAAAACTCATGCCGGGTGCGTGTGCGTGCGTGCCCAAGATCCCGAGAGGAGAATGGAGGAGAAGGGACTGCAGCGTGACCATCCCCCCTGGGGGGGTGATTTCTCGGTTTCTGTCTCTCTGTCTCTCTCTGTCTGGCGAGCGCATGAGCCCTATAGCGAAAAACCTCTCCAAAAAAAAAAAAAAAAAAAAGGAAAGAAAAGAAAGAAAGAAAAATAAATGGTCCCCTAGGATTCAAACCAAATGTAAGAAACAGAGAATCTCTCAGTTTCTGAAGCTCAGAGTGGCAGAATTAGGAGGGCCCCAGGGTGGGGGCTGGTAATCAAGTAGGAAATTTTCCACTGAAACCTTACTTTTTCAGCTGTAGCTTACTGTTTTAATTTTAAGAATATTTTCCTGTTAATAAAAACAGAAATACAATCAGTGTGGGAGGTTTAGAAAAAGCAAATATGGACAAATCATTAAAACTTGCCTGTTATTTTAGGACACTAGTGCCAGGAAGAGAAACCCTCTTTAGTCTAAAGAGGAGATCTAATCGACAAGGGAGGGTCTTGCAAGCGTAACAGGGACAGGGATTAGCGTTTCATATCGACAGTCTTTCCCCTCTGCCCTTCGCGGAATGCATGCTTGGGTGTCCCGGCGTGAGCTGCTGAGCTCCTGACCGTAATAACCGACAATGCAGGGGTGCAGCAGCCTCCGGGGCAGTGCCAGCCTAACATGGCCGTGGTCCTACATATATGACCCTACAACACACAGTCGTCCAGCCACCGTCCGGGCCCAGCTGTCCAATTCTTACAGAGAGACACAGCCGCCTCGGGCCGGGTGTCCGCCCAGCGTTCAGCACCTAACACTGGGAAGGCGCACAGCTTGATGCGGGCGTGGTGTGCTAAGCGTCCCCTTGGGAGGGAGACATCACAGACGGCGGGGGCTGCTGTGGGGCAGGTTGTGTAAGAGACGCGGTGGGGAAGAAACGCCTGGCCTCCACAGAACCAGCATCACGCCATCAGGAAGTCATCACTGTCACCATTCCAGGTGTCTCCTCAGCCATGATCTGACCGCAGCAGTTCTTACGGAATATATGAGGTTTTCGTCACAGGGTGCACATGCTCCCCTGAGAGAGACAGTGAGAGGCAAAGTGAGAACTCACCCCCCAGGAGGGATGGCCACGCCGCAATCCCTTCTCCATTCTCCCCCTGGGATTCTGGGCACACACGCTCATACGCCTGGCATAAGACCCTGATGTGACTTTCTTTTTTCTTTTCTTTTTTTTTTTAATATTTATTTTTATTAAACTTTACTTTCTTACTTATGTATTTATTTATTTTAATTTGGCCAGAGAGGGACAGAGTGAGAGAGAGAGAGAGAGAGAGAGAGAGAGAGAGAGAGAAAGCAAGCACCAGATCTGGGACTTGAACCGTGGTCGACCATGTGGGAGTTCAGTGCCCTTAGTCAGTGCCACCTGCTGGCCAGGCGATGTGCCTTTCAAGCTGACAGGTCCAGGACTCCAACGCCCCTCTGCCTAGTGAGTCCGCGTCCTTAACCACTGCGCCACCTGCTGGTCCCCGTATGTGTTGTATTGTTAATAAGCTAGCTCTTTGTCCCAGGCTTTTCGTTTGATAATACATCACAAAGATTTCCTCTCATTATTGAAATTTTTCCCCAAGTATTTTGACTGTTGCAGATTACTCCACTGTATGGATATTGTTATGATTGTTATTAGGTTTTGCCATAGGGTACCTGCACTAGCTGGAAAGACAGGGAGAGAGAGAGTGAGAAATGATTCCCCAAGGGGATGGCCATGCTGTCATCCCTTCTCTTCCGTTCTCCTCTCAGGAGTTTGCTCACACACACACATATGCCCGGCGTGATTGTCAGGCTGCTGGGTCTGAGGCCTGAACCACAGTCAGACTTGTGGGAGTCCATCACAGTAACTGCTAGCCCCTGTATGGATATTTTTAAAAGAATTTTATTGAACTTACTTTACTATTTATTTATTTATTTAAAGAGACCACAGAGGGACAGAGTGAGAAAGAGAAAGAGAGAAAGTGAGAAAACAAGCCACCGGGTCCAAGACTTGAACTGTGGTCGCCCATGTGGGAGTTTAGTGCCCTTAATCACACGCCACCTGCCAGCTCCGATATGGATATATGTGTGAACTACTGAATATCCATGTGATTGCCAAATGTCTACCCTTTTATGTAGAGTCATGATACACATTCCTGGGCTTTAATATGCGTGCGTATTTCCAATGTTTTTCTTGGCGACACCTGCAAGTTGGATTTCACAAGGTGCAGCAAGGTGCACTTCACCAGCAATGACTAAGTAAGGTCGTCTTGTTTTCGTACCAGCTCTTACCCACTGAGGAAAACAAAGCCAAGCCTGAAACGGGCATCGTCACTGTGCAGTTCCCCCAGCCCCACGCACTGTATTTGGTCTCTCACTTCAGTTGACTATAATTCAACCCTGGATTCTCAACACATGGTCCCCAGACCAGCAGCATCAGCAGCATCAGTGGGAATTTGTTAGACACGCACACTCTTGGGCCCAGCAGATGGCATGATGGTTACATTGCTGGATTCCCACCTAGCCGACTGTGGTTCAAGTCATGGCCCCGGCGGCTTAAAACTCACACCAGGCACGAGTGCACGTGTGCCCCAAATCCCGAGAGGAGCGTGGAGAAGGGATTGCAGTGTGGCCATCCTGCCTGGGAAGTGATTTCTCCCTTTCTGTTTCTCTCTCTCTTTCTCAGACGAGCGCACACACCCGATAGCAAAAATCTCTCTTTAAAAAAAAAAAAAAGTAAAATAATAAAACAGAAACGCACACTCTTAGGCCCTACCCTTGACCTACAGAATCAACACTCCAGGGGACAGGCACCAGCCGGCTAAGTTTGACCAAGCCCTCCGGGCAATTCCGATGCACGCTCAAGTCCGAGAAGCGCTTTGTATGCCCTCCCCAGTGTTTCCCTGCTTTCGAGGGTAGGAATGTCATTTCTGGGCCCCACGGTGTGTAAGGGACATGGTTATACCGTGATGGGGTGTAAAGGTGGTGGGTTCAGTTTACTGGGCTGGGCGTCGGGGAGTGTGTCCTGCATAACTTCCCATTGCGTATGCATCCAAACCCGCGTAATAATGACTTGATACTGTCACGTCCTACATTGCAAGGTGACGTTTTTCTGTATCGTTAAGTCCAAATGTGACACTGGAAGAAAGTTTCAAGCTAAGTTACCCCAGATGTTTCACGGTTACGCAAGAATGCAAAGCAAAACATGTTTTCCCCACTGAATGAAAACACAGTGTAAGTTTTCTTTAGCAGCTGTGACCGGAGGTTGCAAAATGGAGTCATCTGGCCACTCTCCAGGCTGTTAGCATCCCCTCCCCTCCTCCCAAGGGTGAAGGACAATCAAGCCAAAGAGAAGGAAAACACAGCGCTCTCGAGTTCACAGCTCTTACCGAGAAACGGCACTGCTGGAGCGTCTGGGATGAATCAATACGGAAGACAGAGAGGACAGACCACCTGACTCCACTACCAGCAGGTCACACAGTTCGCTTAGGATAGCCCTGAGAAGGCTAGCAGATGGCGTGGTGGTTAAGGGCACTGGACTCCCACATGGCCAGCTGTGGTTCGAGTCCCGGACCTGGTGGCTTGCTTTCTCACTTTGTCTCTCTCTCTCTCTGGTCAAGTAAAAATAAATAAATAAATAAAGTTAAACAAAATAATTCTTTAAAAAAAAAAAAAA